GATGCCATAAGCGCCCAAAATGCTGCACTGCGACGCGCGCGCGACTTCCCCCTTTCTGCCGGCTTGCGCTCGCCACGTTAGAACAAACAGTGCGGAATGGGCATCCTGAGTTCGAAAAAATGAACCGTGAAGTCCATGTGCGGCACGCGTATTCGCATGGTCCCAACGTAGCTGGACGCAGCGCGATGCAAAGCGCAGATCCCAGTGCCCTCGCGCGCGCGCAGCGCAAGAACCGATGCAGCATGACCACCCTGCGCTCGATGATAAAATTGCGTTCGCCAAATGTTTGGCTCGCACTCCGACGGGGCCCCCGCGCGGAATGATGCATCGCGACCGAATGCGCGTTCTCAGCGCTCGCGCGCGCGCGTGCCAGCGCTTACACAGAATCGCCATCTTAACCTCGCAAGCCCAATGGTGACAACCAACTGTTTCACTCATATGTTTGAAGCCTCTGCGCGGGAAAATCCAATGTGACACACTGTGCTTTTCAGGGTTCCTCGCGCGCGAAATCAAATGCGCATACTGAGTAGCCAGCTCAATCTCGAAAGCTCAATGGTGAAAACGAATTGTTCCACCCATATTCTGGAAGCCTCAACGCAGAAACATAGGATGTGGCACGCTGCACGTTTCAGGGTTGCTCGTGCGCGCGCGCGCACGCGAGCGCGCAATCAAATGCGCATACGGAGTAGCCATCTTAATCTCGAAAACTCAACAATGAAAACCAATTGTTTCACTCATATTCTGGAGGCCTTAACGCAGAAAAAAACGATGTGGCACACTGTGCTTGTCAGGGTTGCTCGTGCGCGCGCGTACGCGCGCGCTCGCGCGCGCAATCAAATGCGCATACAGAGTAACCGTCTTAAGCTCGAACAGTCAATGGTGAAAACCAACTGTTTCACTCATATTCTGGAGGCCTCAACGCAGAAACATGCAATGTGGCACACTGTACTTTTCAGGTTTGCTCCTGCGCGCGCGCAATCAAATGCGCATACAGAGTAGCCATCTTAATCTCGAAAACGCAATGGTGAAAACCAATTGTTTCACTCATACTCTGGAGGCCCCAACGCAGAAAAGTACAATGTGGCACACTGTGCTATTCAGGGTTGCTCGCGCGCGCGCGCGCGCGCACGCGCGCGCGCTCGCGCGCACAATCAAATGCGCATACAGAGTAACCATCTTAAGCTCGAAAACCAATGGTGAAAACCAATTGTTTCACCCATGTTCTGGAAGCCCCAACGCAGAGAAAAGAAAAAAAAAAAAAAAAAAAAAAAAAAAAAAAAAAAAAAAAAGTGACACGCTGTGCTTTTCAGGGTTCCTCGTGCGCGCGCGCGCACGCGCGCGCGTGCGCGCGCGGTCGCGCGCCCGCAATCAAATGCGCATGCAGAGTAGCCATCTCAATCTCGAATGCTCAACGGTGAAAACCATGCGTTTCACTCATATTCTGGAGGCCTCAACGCAGAGACATGCAATGTGGCACGCTGTACTTTTCAAGTTTGCTCCTGCGCGCGCGCAATCAAATGCGCATACAGAGTAGCCATCTTAAGCTCGAAAACTAAATGATGAAAACCCACCGTTTCACTCATATGCTGGGGGCCTCTTCACAGAAACATACGATGTGGCACACTGTGCGATTCAGGGTTGCTCGCGCGCGCGCACGCGTGCGCAATCAAACGCGCAGGCAGAGTAGCCATATGAATCTCGAAAACTCATCGGTGAAAAACAATTGTTTCACCCACATTCTGGAAGCCTCAACGCAGAAGAATACACTGTGCCACACTGTACTTTTCAGGGTTGCTCGCGCGCGCAATCAAATGCGCGCGCAGAGAGGCCATCTGAACCTCGAGAACCCAATGGCGAAAACAAAGTGTTGCACTCATTTGCTGGAGGCCCCAACGCAGAACAATACATTGCGGCGCGCTGCGCTGTTGAGGGTTGCTCGCGCGCGCGCGCAATCAAATGCGCATACAGAGCAGCCATCTTAAGCTCGAAGGCTCAATGGTGGAAACCAACTGTTTCACTAATTTGCTGGAGGCCTCGTCTCAGAAAAATACATTGCAGCACGCTGTGCGTTTCAGGGTTCCTCGTGCGCGCGCGCTCGCGCGCGCAATCAAATGCGCATGCCGAGTAGCCATCTGAATCTCGAAAACTCAATGGTGATAACCGACAGCTTCACTTATATGCTGGAGGCCTCAACGCAGAAACAAACAATGCGACGGGAGGTATTATTCAGGGCTGCTCGTGCGCGCGCGCACGCGCGCGCTCGCGCGCGCGCAATCCAATGCGCATGCAGAGTAGCCACCTCAATCTTGAAAACTCAATGGTGGATGCCAACCGTTTCACGTGCAATCTGGAGGCCTCAACGCGGGGGGAAAAAAACACTGTGGCACGCTGTGCTTTTCAGGGTTGCTCGAGCGCGCGCGCACGCGCACGCGCGCGCAATCAAATGCGCATACAGAGTAGCCACCTTGAGCTCGAAAACTCAAACGTGAAAACCAATTGTTCCGCTCATATTCTGGAGGCCTCAACGCAGACAAAAATGTGGCACACTGTACTTTTCAGGGTTGCTCGAGCGCGCGCGTGCGCACGCGCGCGCAATCAAATGCGCATGCAGAGTAGCCATCTCAATCTCAACAACTCCATGGTGAAAACCAATTGTTTCACTCATATTCTGGAGGCCCCGACGTGGAATTCTACAATGCGGCACACTGAACTTTTCAGGGTTGCCCGTTCGCGCGCGCACGCACACGCGCGCGCGTTCGCGCGCGCTCGCGCGCGCAATCAAATGCGCATACAGAGTAGCCATCTTAAGCTCGAAAACTCAACGGTGAAAACAAATTGTTTCACTCATACGCTGGAGGCCTCAACGCAGAAAAATACGACGTGGCGCACTGTACTTTTCAGGGTTGCTCGAGCGCGCGCGCACGCGCACGCGCACGTTCGCGCGCGCACAATCAAATGCGCATTCTGAATAGCCATCTCAATCTCAAAAACTCAATGGTGAAAATGAATTGTTCCACTCATATCCTGCAGGCCCCAACGTGGAATTCTACAATGTGACGCGCTGAACTTTTCAGGGTTGCTTGTGCGCGCGCGTACGCGCACGCGCGCGCGTGCGCGCGCGAACAATCAAATGCGCATACAGAGTAGTCATCTTAAGTTCGAGAACTCAATGGTGAAAACCAATTATTTCACTCGTATTCTGGAGGCCCCAACGTGGAATTATACATTATGACATAATGCGCGTTCCTCGTTGCCCGCGAGCGCGCGTACGCGCGGGGGCGCGCGCGCGCGCGCGGAGCCACGACATGCAAAATCATGCGAAGCCACAAAAACACCTGCAACGCTGGTTGCTGGATGGGCTGGCGGGTGCGCGCGAAGCACAAGAACTGCGCCAACTTGCGCCGCGCCGCGGCAGCCTTCCGGCCCACCACCACGCGGGCCACCACCTCCTGGCGCCCCAGCTTGGGCCGCGCATTGGCGACCGCCACCAGAGCGCCAAGCCCCGCGGCCGTCAAGGGGTCGGCCGCGGCAGCCCAAGGGTCTGGCCCCTCTTGGGCCATGCTTGGGCCTAATGCCGCGGAGCGTGACACTCTGCGCGACCGCATTCCAGAAAATGCACGGGGCCCGCAGACGCAACGATAATAATCTCCGCTTCAATGGAAGCTTCGGGGGGGCAAACAGATAATTCATGGGGGCTCTTGGGAAACAGTGAGACACTGCGAGCATATCTAGACCCTCGGGGCCCGCGTGGAACCAGCGGCGGGCCAGCGGAATGACTGGGCGAGACTGCCGAGCGAAGGTGGGGCCCTGAGAAAGCATTTGGAAACGCAACGAACCATCTGGTGTCCTATGGGCACCAAAACGGGCTCTAGAGGCAGGCCAGGGATTCTATGAGAAGCCCGAGGGCACCATCAGGCACCGATTACATACCACGGTGGCTTACTACATAATATAGGTAATGGACCCAATGTCGAAACTAAACATGCGGTGCATGAGCGGTTCAACGCGTTCGAACATGATGATGCTGGACGCGCAGGGCCCACTAAGACTACTGAAGCCGTTCCCCCACCGCCCCAAGATGTGGTGCACTGCGCGACTGCTGGGGGCACTGGGGCTGTGCTCTGTAGGAGCGTTTTGCATTCTCAATCACCAGTCGAACCTGCGCAAGCGAATCCAGATTAAGATCGATGGTTCTGTCTTATAAAATTGTGTCAAAAACGCTTAAAAAAACGCTGCAACTGTCGGATTACAAATGTGATGTTTTTTTCCGTTTCGAAAATGGCTATTAAAAAACGCTGCAACTGTCAGATTATGCACGCGCTGCTCTGGCGAGGCTCCTCATAGATACCCCGCATCAAGTTCCGCGACCGTCCCAGACCCCCAGGTGCTCACAACTCTGGGCATCGCTCGGACGTCCATGCCCTGTGTTTTTGGTCGGCTTCGCGCGTGGCTTTTCCGCCGAATGATCCAGGATGCTCCTCGATGGTCCTCGCCGAAGGAAAAATGCACACGTCCGAGCGATGCCAAGGCACTGCCCCGCCCCGCCGCGGACGCCGGTTCTACTGCACACCCCTGCCGAAACGAAACACACAAAACACGGCCGAAGCCCAGCAAAACGGCAATTAGGTCCAGCCCTGCCTTACCTCGACCCCCGTCCCCCGAGCCCCCGTCCCGCACTCTGGGCATCGCTCGGACGTCCATGCCCTGTGTTTTTGGTCGGCTTCGCGCGTGGTTTTTCCGCCGAATGATCCAGGATGCTCCTCGATGGTCCTCGCCGAAGGAAAAATGCACACGTCCGAGCGATGCCAAGGCACTGCCCCGCCCCGCCGCGGCCGCGCGCCGTGCCCCGCCCCCGCACTGCCCCGCCCCTGCCGCGGAGGCACTCCATTAATTTCATGTGTTGCAGTGCTGGTGCTGCCGGCGAGGAGGAGGAGGAGGAGGGGAGGAGGAGGAGGAGGTGCACTCCCCTGGAGCCCCCGGCCCGCACTGCCCCGCCCCGCCGCGGACGCGCGCCGCGGCCGCGCCGCCGCCCAGCGCCAGGAGCGCGAGGGCCACGGGCGCCAGCGGCGGGCGGGCTGCGGGCGGGGGGCGCGGCGGCCGCCGCACGAAAGTCGTCGTCGTCGTCGTCGTCGTCGTCGTCGTCGTCGTCGTCGTCGTCGTCGTCGTCGTCGCCGTCGTCGTCGTCGCCGTCGTCGTCGTCGTCGTCGTGATCGTCGTCGCCGTCGTCGTCGTCGTCGTCGTCGTCTCTTGGGGGGCTTCTTGGAGCTTCGAGGCCTCTTTCTTCTGGGCCACTTGGAGGCCTCATAGTGGCCTTTCGGGGGCCTCTTGGGGCCCTCTTGGGGCTCTCATGGGGGCTTCTCGAGACGACGCGCGGGCGCGGACGCGGAGCCCTGCGGTCCGACGTCAGGCGATCGACAGCTGATCCGTGCCCCTGCTCCGCGGGGACAGCAAGCGATCCACAACCACATCGAGGACACACCCTCGGGGGACGTCTAGCACGTGCCAAGATTCGTCGGAGCACCGAAACCAGCTTCGTACCGGTTGTGGTCGATGTGGCGTCCCGAGACGGCCAAATCCACCACAACCACAGTCAAAGCGCGCACGTCGAGGCCGCCGCGTTCTCCCCCGAGAAGCCCTCCCGAGAAATCCACTTAGTCGTGGTTGTGGTTCTTTGTTGTGCTCAGATGCTCGCGCCCTTTGTTGATGCAAAGAGACAACGAGTTCTCCGAGGCGCTTTGCAGCTGCTATTTTGGCTACTTTCGCACGCCAGCTCGCAAGTAAACTGAGAGCTGCCGAGTCATGCAACAGAATTGCGTCGCCAGGATCTCAGGGAGGGGCCCTCTCCACTCTTCTTCATGAGGCTGCGGACGAGGCCTGCGCCGCCGACGTTTCAGCACGTGGCCACCGAAGTCCCCATCCTGCCCCCAGGACCGGCTCCTCATCCGGAGCCGTTCTGTGGCGCTCCCGCGGCCCAGCGGGGGCCCCCAGGGGCCGCCGAGCACGGCCAAGGATCTCCCGTCGTGATTTGTTCAAGACACCCTCTCCTCCTCCTCCTCCTCCTCCTCCTCCTCCTCCTCCTCCTCCTCCTCCTCCCCCTCCTCCTCGCTCCCCCTCCTCCTCGCTCCCCCTCCTCCTGCAGATTCTAAGCCTCAGAATCGTTCAAAATCACAAGTACGTCCTAGTACTTCTCCCTCTCGCAATTCTCCTGACCGATCTTCCCCTGGAGCCTGCTCGTTTATCTATTGCGCGGCCCCGCGCGCAATCTCGCAAGCTCGAACCAGATTGGTCTATGGACGGGCCGAGGCAGCAACAGGCAAGAAACAGCACTGCGATTCACACGCGCTAAACATTCTTGTTGCCTGTATTGCCTCGGCCTCTCGCACGTCTCGTGAGACTGCCTGCCGGGCTCAGGCGACCTCCTCAGCCGGAGGTGGTCGGGCGTGCGCGCCGCGCGTACGCCTTCTGCTCACGGTCGTAGGAGTCCTGGCGCTCCGCCTCCAAGGTCGTCATTTCGAGTCCGAAACTGGTCTTCATCACTCGCAGCAGGGCATCACGCTGATCGGGATAGTTGGACATCCGCTCGATGACCGCCACCGCTGTGGTCGAAAGCGCCTCCTGGTACGCCGGGTCCTCCTTCAATAGGTCTGGCATCTCGACCTTGATGAATCCGGCATCCTCCCTCGGCTCTTCCTTCTTGATTGAACTGCCCGCCTCTGTGCCCTTACCCTCGTCCTCGTACGGGGGAAAACGCATGACCTTAGTCAGGTGCTCGCTCCCATTCGGCATCTCCATCTTGCAGGACGGGTTGTGGACCGCAGCCTCGAAATAGCTCCTCTCCGACTCGGTCACCTGGCGGATCATCGAGTCCTCGATGGCCGCTCCGGTGAGCACCTGGACGTAGTTCGTGTTGTTATGGTATATCAGGGTCACTCTCATATGTCGACTCGCCTTCAGGCCCGTGTCTAGGACTCCAGCGGGCACCTTCACTGTCATCTTACGCTCGGCCGCTACGCAACCGACGATGTTCGGGCAGCTGGTCTCGGCATCCGTGAGACTCTGGAGGAAGCTTCGCACCGTGTGGGGTTCCCCGCGAGCTGTAAAGCCTACCATTTGAGCCACCACTGCACAGGCGACCGAGGGCGTGGGAGTCGGCAATCGGTCGCTTGATGAGACCTCTCTGCGGAGTCGGCGACGCTCTCTCTCTGCTGCTGCTTCATGTAGAGTACTTGATTCGTCCGCAAGCTGATACACTCCAGATCGGACGCATGCTCTCAGTAGGTCGTGGGCCTCGGCCTTTTCCTTGGTGAGGGCGTCGGCTACCATCAAGGACGTGGGGCCCCACCTCAAGGTCCCTCCAAATCTCTGAAGGGCTTGTCGGGCAATCATGAGCTCCACAGCACATCGTCGGTCCTCAAGAGCCCCTGGGGAACCTATCTTATTGATATGGTCATAGGCCGATTTTGCATCTATAATCGCAACAGCCTCGAAAAGCTTCAAGAACTCATACCTCGTCTCCAGAGTGAACTGTGGAAACATACACCCCGCAAAGAAACACATTACCCATTCCAGATGCCCCAGACCGTCGGCCAGTGCAGAGGCCTCTCCACCCAGAGACGATCGCATTGCCCGCTTAAGTCGGTAGCTCCGCCATATCATAGGATTCCATGGTGATACCTCCCCTCGTTGCATACCCGGTGTCGTCACACTCAGCACATATCCCCCTTGGGTCTTCTTGAGACCATCGTTTTCCCCCCTGGCAAAGTCGGTATGGATCATCATCCTGAGGTCCTCAAGTGGGATCGCAAAATATCGTATCGTAAGATCCTTATGTTGACGAGCACGGCGCACGAGCATGTTGGCATCTTTTATCTCCTTCACCGTCGGATTCGGCAACAGCTGCTGGTTCTTGCTCACCTGGCAAGAAAGATCAGGCCTAGTCTGACCTGCCAGCCAATTGCCAGCCTGGTTCATCGAGATCAGCGCAGACTTTTCCTTGGGCAACGCCTTGCTTTCATTCTCGGCACATCGTTTCATCTTGACTGGTTTCATCGTTTCAGCATAGGCCTTTTGTGACTGTATGAAAGTTCCGTCCGAAAGTTGTTGTAACCAAGACCCCGTAAACTCACCAGACCCAATCCTCCATTTCCTCCAGGGAAACCGTCGTTTGAGTTTATCCATGGCACTCTCCCACCTGTCACCTCGTCCTCCTCCTACCGCGTCGTCCACGTGTATCCCCATCAGCCCACACAAGGCACCTGGATGTCTTCGAGCAGATCCAATCGGCACACACTGAGGTGTCGAGGGGACTGGCTGTCCAGCCCGCACCGGCTCAAACATAATAAACAGACACGGATCAAGAGGATGGGCCACGGAACCGATCTCCTCAGCATACCGCTTAAAAGTCGAGAACCACCGCTGCGGCTGGTCCACACCGCCGTAGCCGTTCACAAATTCGCACAGCTGATCCGGGTGATGGCCCTTTGGTGTGTGCTCCCTGGGTGCTTTCACGAATATCGGCCCATTGGGCCTCTCCTCAGGATCAGCTTCCAGAAACGCCCCTCGGATGTCTCCCAGAACCAGTTGAAAACGAGTCGAAGCCACCAGCTGTAGGACAGCAGCCTTCCCTGTTGCTGAGAGTGTCGGACTCTGGGTCTTGCCAGCTCGGACCATCTCCAGCACATCTGGTTCCTTAACACCGTCAGCCTGCATCGCAATTCCGTGCCCCCGTCATCCTCCGTTTTGAGGGTCAGCACTGGGCGCGATGGCAAAATGCGGTCCGGGACCTCCAGGAGAAGACGACGAGACTCCTCCACCGAACGAGCTTTCGAGGCCTTTCGATCGACGATCAATTTCTGGAACTCCTTCTGATATGCCTCCTCCACCTGACGTCGTCCCTCCTCAGTCTGCCACCTAGAATCCTACTCACGCTCCTCCTTCCTTCCTCTGGCAAGTAGCACGTCAGTGTCCGTTACTGCCAAGATCGGGGCCTGTTCGCCCCCGTCACACGCGACCGCTCCACAGTCGAACAGAGGCGTTGGATCCGCCTCGGGGTTGGAAGACTGAGATGGATGAGGTAGTAGAGAGCTGGAGTCGGACAGTCCTGGAGGCTCTTCTAGGCGGGGCTGCTTGTGCGGCTGAGGGTCAGCTGGTTCATCGGCGCTCCTAGTCAGCTCTTCCTTCTTTGGGCCCGTCTTCGATCCGAAAGGTACCCGTCGGGACCCCGTCGGATGGTCAGGACTCCCCGTCGGCACAGCATATGGGCACGAGGACCATCTGGAGTCGGGGTACGGGAACCTGGACGAGGGGGCTCCTGGAGTTGGTTCGGCCGATGATGTGTTTGGCGGCGGCGTTGGTGGCGGTGTCGGGTCGATCGATATCGAAGGTGCCGGAGTCGGGATCCCATCTCCTGGACCTGGAACCGCCCAATTCGAATCATCTACCTCTGCTTCTGGAGGACCTTCTGGAGGCTTGGGGCCCTTCGTGATGTCGTCAAAATATCTCCCAGACAGATTATCCAGGTCAACCGTCGTCGTCCGTAATTCAGCCTCCACCAACATCCATGCCGTACGTTCCTCCCCCGTAGCCTCCCTCATCTGCTCCGGGGACGCTTTCACAAGGCTTCCAGGAAGAGCAACCCAGTAATTTCCCCTGACAGGCCCAACACAGATTCCTGGTCGCCCCCTGTACGATGACGTCTTTCCGGCTATTGCACCCTTGACCTTGCGCCACACAGCTACCATATCTCCAGCCTGAAAAACACGATGCACCCGCGGACGGCAGTCGGGGGCAACACGAGCTGCCTTCTTCTCGTTGTGCGCCAATATCACCCGTCGGGCCATGGCACGAATCCTGGCAGCCCTCGCTGCCACAGAATCGTGCAACACACAGCTGTTGGCAACCAGGTTCGGGTTCTCTTGAAGTAAATCTTCTGGGACCTCTGGTTTTCCTGCCGAAAACAATCTGACACGGGGAAACGCCTTCCACACTCAACACCGAGTTCTTGGCCTCCTGGAGCTGCGCTACACATTCCAGCCATTCACCTTCATCCTGGGGCTGAATTTCATCAACCATCACC